AGGTTGCTTTTTCTTTGCACAGAATGAAATGAATGGGCTGTGATTTTAGTTTTTTTAAGCAGAGGTCAATAATTTGTACGGCCCTCTGAGGATATTGTAAAAGTTGAAATGGCCCTTGAGAGGAAAAAGGTTCCCCACCCCTGCTTTAAGGGCTTGCATTGTGTTGTATACTGACAATAAATGAGGGTTTCCTGTTGATTGTGCTTGTGGCTTTCTATCAGTTTTTCTAACGAGCCACATTGAGCTCAAAGCACTCAGAACTATCTACGCACTGTCATATTCTGCTATCAAAATGACCTTATTGTTACATTTACATTGTTGCAACATGTTAACCATGGTTATCTCAGTGTATAAATGTCAATTAGGCTGCAGGCAGTGTGGAAGACAAATATAGTTAATAGTATCACTATTGCTGAAGCTGCCAGTCAATATTTTCGATTATTATTCATTTTTAAATGGATTATTTTCAACAAATGTGGAAGCAGGGCTGGGTTATATATTGATATTATATAAATGACACTAGATATCTTCATGGCACGTGTTTTGAGTACTGTACAAAAGGTTTGTGTAGTTTTAATTATTAAAAAGTATACTAATTTACAATTAATCACATATGTGTGGTTTGATAAGTCAAATGTTATCTTAATTCTCCAAGTCCAAACTCTGCGAATATTATTCTGGTTGATTATTTGGTGTTTTTGTAATACCCTCCAAGTCCTGAAAAGCTGTTGGGTCAAATCCCAGCATAATATCAATTATATAGTAGCATCAACAGGCAGATATCCCCATTAAAAACAGCCCTACAGTAAATATAGTGTCAACATTACATTACATTACATTACATTACATTACATTACATTGCATTTAGCTGACGCTTTTGTCCAAAGCGACTTACAATAAGTACATTCGACCAGGAAGACACAACCTTGAAGAAAACAGAATCATATAAGTACATCAGGTTTCATAGAGCCAAACATTTCAAGTGCTACTCAACTGGCTTTAGGTAAGCCAGTCCTTTATTAGTATAAAAGTGCTTCGTTAATAGTTCTAACGCTCGAAGTGGAGTCGAAAGAGATGAGTTTTCAGTTTGCGCCGGAAGATGTGCAAGCTATCTGCCGTCCTGATGTCAATGGGGAGCTCATTCCACCATCTTGGAGCCAGGACAGCAAACCCACGTGTTTTCGCCGATGGGAACTTGGGTCCCCCTCGCAGCGAGGGCGCAGCGAGTCGTTTGGCTGATGCAGAGCGTAGTGCACACGCTGGGGTGTACAGTTTAACCATGTCCTGGATGTAGGAAGGGCCAGATCCATTCGCAGCATGGTAAGCAAGTACCAGTGTCTTGAAGTGGATTCTAGCAGTTACCGGAAGCCAGTGAAGGGAGCGGAGGAGCGGAGTGGTGTGGGAAAATTTAGGAAGGTTGAAGACCAGACGAGCCGCTGCATTCTGGATGAGCTGCAGAGGTCGGATGGCACATGCAGGTAGACCAGCCAGGAGGGAGTTGCAGTAGTCTAGGCGTGAGATGACGAGAGCCTGGACCAGAACCTGAGTCGCTTTCTGTGTCAGCTGGGGACGTATCTTCCTGATGTTGTAAAGCGTGTATCTGCAGCAACGGGTTGTAGCAGCGATGTTTGCAGTGAAGGACAGGTTGTTATCTAGGGTCACACCCAGATTCCTTGCAGTCTGAGTCGGGGAAACAACTGAGGTGCCGATGTTGATTGTTAGGTCAAGAGTGGGACAATCTTTTCCCGGGAGGTAGAGCAGCTCAGTCTTGTCAAGGTTGAGCTTGAGGTGGTGAGCAGACATCCACTGAGAGATGTCAGCTAGACAAGCAGAGATGCGTGCAACGGCCTGGGTCTCTGAGCGGGGAAAGGACAGAATTAAATTGGGTGTCATCAGCGTAGCAGTGGTAAGAAAAACCATGCGGGCTAATGACTGTTCCGAGCGAGTTTGTGTACAGGGAGAAGAGGAGGGGACCAAGAACAGAGCCCTGAGGGACCCCTGTAGTTAATTGACAAGGGTCGGACTCAGACCCTCTCCAAGTCACCCTGTAGGTACGGTCTTTCAGGTATGAGGTGAGGAGGGAAAGAGCAGAGCCTGAAACTCCATGTTTTTGGAGAGTGCGAAGGAGGATCTGATGATTCACCGTGTCGAATGCAGCAGACAGGTCCAACAGGATGATGACAGAGGAGAGGGATGCAGTTTTGGCAGTGTGCAGTTCCTCCGTGACAGCAATGAGAGCAGTTTCTGTGGAGTGACCTGCCTTGAAACCAGACTGGTGCGGATCCAGAAGGTTGTTCTGATTGAGATAACAGGAGAGTTGTTTAAAGACAGCGCGTTCAAGTGATTTAGACAGGAACGGGAGGAGAGAGACAGGCCTGTAGTTTATAACATCAGACGGGTTGAGAGTGGGTTTCTTTAGGAGAGGGTTTACTCTTGCCTCCTTGAGACTGTTTGGAAAGTGACCAGAAGTTAGAGAAGTGTTGATGAAATGGGTGAGAAACGGTAGAATATCAGGAGCGATTGTCTGAAGGAGGTTTGAAGGGATAGGATCCAGAGGACAGGTGGTAGGGCGGGCAGAAGTAATGAGGGTAAGAACCTCACTTGGAGAGAGAGGGGAAAAGGAGGTTAGTGTGTTGGTGGAAGGAGGGTCTGGTGACCCAGCGGTGAGTAAAGGTGAGTCAGAAAAAGAAGAGCGAATATCATCAACCTTTTTTTTCAAAGTGGGTAACAAAGTCGCTTGACAGAAGTGAGGAGGGGGGAGGGGCTTTTGGAGGGTCCAAGAGGGTGGAGAAGATGGAAAATAGTTTTTTAGGATTGGAATAGGAAGATTGGATCTTATCTTGAAAGAAAGTGCTTTTTGCCTGAGAGATCGAAGCAGAGAAAGAGGAGAGGACAGCCTGATAGGTTAGGAGGTCGTCACGGTGTTTGGATTTCCACCGTTTCCGCTCTGCTGCCCTAAGGACGGTTCTATTAGCACGCAGTGCATCATTTAGCCAGGGAGCAGGAGGAGACTGACGAGCCTGCCGAGATGTGAGAGGACAGAGAGAGTCCAGAGAGGATGAGAGAGTAGAGAGGAGAGTTTCTGCAGCAGAGTTTGGTGGCAGGAGTTGGAACGAGTCAGAGGAAGGGAGGGCTGAGAGCACCGACGAGGCAAAGGTAGAGGGGGAGAGGGAGCGAAGGTTACGGCGGACAAGTGCAGGATGAGAAGAGATTCGTTTGTTATGTTTGGAAAGGGGTAGAGAGAATGAAATGAAGAAGTGATCGGATGTGTGGAGCGGGTTTACAGAGAGGTTAGAAGTAGCGCAGTTCCTTGAGAATATGAGATCAAGGACGTTGCCAGCTTTATGAGTCGGTGGGGACGGAGACAGTGAGAAAGCAAAGGCGGTTAACAGAGATGTTAGTTCGTCTGTCTTCCCTGTCTGGAGGTTGAAGTCTCTGAGAAGTACAGCGGGAGGGCCAGTTTCAGGGATGTGTGAGAGGAGATGATCTAATTCCTCCAAGAAGTCCCCCAAGGCGCCTGGTGGACGGTAGAGAACAACAATGGTTAACTGTATAGGATGGGTTACTGTGACGGCATGGAATTCAAAGGTGGAAGGAGTGAAATTAGGTAGTTTGAAGAGGGAAAAGCTCCATTTGGGAGAGAGCAGGAGACCAGTGCCACCTCCTCTGCCAGTTGGTCTGGGTGTATGGGAGAAGGAATATGCAGTGGAGAGAGCTGCTGGGGTGGATGTGTTGGATGGAGTAATCCAGGTCTCAGTGAGAGCAAGGAAATCCAGAGACTGCAGGGAGGCGTAGCCAGAGATGAAGTCAGCCTTAGGAACAGCTGACTGGCAATTCCACAGGCCACCAGAAACTAGATGTTGGATCTCAGTGGAGCATGTGGGATAGATGAGAGCAGGCCGGTTATATCGATTAGGAGATACACGGGGCCAGTGATAATTGCGAGAAGACACATGAACAGGAATGGAGAAAATACACATGATTATAGCACGAGGGGCTAGAAAACTAAAGAAAAGAGAAATAAGACACCAGCTCAATCAGAGTAGGATTTGCCTCCTCTTTGCCTCCCTCGTGACTCCCGTAGGACTCCAATGTCTTTGTCAGTCTTACTCCCGTAGGACTCCAATGTCTTTGTCAGTCTTCGGCTGTCTGACGCTGAAGCTGACGCTCCAGGAAAGAGCTACCCAAAATGGACGCCTGATTGCTCAGTTCTCACAGCTGTTGGGCCACGCCCCTCTAATTAGTTAACTATCTACAGCTGATGGGCGACAATAGACTGGCCCTGCCTATATTAATGCAGGCTTGAGTGCTGAGACCTGTGAAGCAGGTTTCGCCTGAGCAGATCAGAGATTTAAAATCTCTCAAAAGCGATTTAGCCATTTAAGCTACAATAACAATTATACAGAGTCGAATAAATGAAACAGAGAAGTCTAATTAAACAAGAATATAACTTATAGTGGTTGCTGCGTCAATAGGTAATGTCGTCACCGGGTCCAGATGCACACTGAGTTCATCAGATTTTAAATGCGGTATTTAAATGCTTTTTAAGGTAAAAAAATGACTGAGTCACGCGGTTGTACTTCACGCTATCAATAGACTGGCCGTGCCTATATTAATGCAGGCTTGAGTGCTGAGACCTGTGAAGCAGGTTTCGCCTCAGCAGATCTGAGATTTAAAATCTCTCAAAAGCGATTTAGCCGTTTAAGCTACAATAACAATTATACAGAGTCGAATAAATGAAACAGAGAAGTCTAATTAAACAAGAATATAACTTACAGTGGTTGCTGCGTCAATAGGTAATGTCGTCACCGGATCCAGATGCACACTGATTGCTTCACTCCCCACAGTGTGAAGCAGAATGCAACATATCTGACCACACAACTCTTTTCCAAATTGCTGCAACAGTCACTGAATTTCAATTTCTCTCTCTTGGCTCCATACAGCAATTAGTCTCTTTCGCATGCCTTTGATCCTTTCTCTTCACCTTCTTTTGTGTTCAGGAAGAAGCACGAGAGTCAAAGCAGAAAGGGAGGGAAAAAACGAGGAAAGGAACGATGGAGTCCATATTGTCGGATCAGTCTGCTGCAGTGGATGATCTGGTGGAAGCGAGCATCCAAGCCTTCGGTTTGTCCTTTGAACACTATGTCTTAGAATAAAACAATATAATCCAAAGTTGTATTCTATTGTCACTTAAACAGTTATGTTTCATGTCAATTGTCTTATATTCTGTAGACATGCATGTGAATAATGATGACCAGGCAACGACTGACACAAATTAAATGCACATTAATTAATAGCAGGTGATGCTGCTCTGTGGGTATTGCTTCCTGATGATGAGTGACATGTTATTTTCTTCTTCCAGATGAGAGAGGCACTTTGAAGGATGCCTCCATGGTGCGCATGTTTATCATGATGCACCCTTGGTATATTCCTTCAATCAACCTGGCCAAGAAGCTCGTGCTCAAGTATCCTTCACCTTTGTTTATGCTACGATGAGATCTATTAGTGATTATCTAGACATATCGTTTCAAACGCTGGTGACAGAAAGATATAATCAATGCCTGTTGTCTATCTTGATTGGTTTATCTGTTCATTCTCAATTATATTTAAGAGTTTGCATAGTTGGACCTTAACTGTTTGATAAGATATCAAGAGGAGAGCTGCACTGCTGAGCGCCGAACAAGAATATGCCACCTTGTCAAGTACTCATCTTTTTATTTATGATTTAACATGCCATTTATTTCCTGTACTTTGGTCTTTTATGGGTTAACAAATCAATATTGACAGTAACTACATGTCATACAGAAATTGTTTTACAATGCAACATTTATTTACTGCAATTACAGACATATATTACGTGAGCTAGGATACAATTGTATGCAAAAACACAGCAGAAAATTATTTGGACCTTCACATTTACTGCTGTATTTCTTTGTTTGTTTTAATTTGTTTTGATATTCACTTATTTTTCATTTTCGCTCAAGATAACTTATGTTGACTGCTTTTTGACAACAAGGTCTAATAAAGGCATGTTTATAATATATTTTTGTATTTAAGCACAACTAAATCATGGATAGTCCACAACTAAGTGTGACATGGTTGTTTAAATGCTAACAAGTCGATCCTTTTCCATCGTCACTGTCTTTTCATCCCTTTGTTCTGCCTTGCAGGTACTGGATCTCTGAGTTTCCAGCAGAGTTCAATCTGAGCCCGGAGCTGGCAGAGGAGATCAAAGACTTTAAAGACCTCCTGACCACTGAAGGCAACGCGAGCCAGAGCCAGCTCATTGACCTGGACAGTGTGTGAGTTGTTGACAGTGAATGAACATCTCTGTCTGAGGGGTTTTATATCAGTGTGCCCTTTTATTGCCTGCTCTCAGACAATGCTGAGCTGTCATTAGCAGTTCAATCACTTCTCCTTTTTCAACAAAATTCATTTCTGTGTGACCTCGAGTTTCCTTGAGTGCTCCATGAGGACAAGGAAGTCCCCTATGTGTGACTTCAGCTGAGCGAGGGAATTAATTCTGCATTTGTAGAAACATTTTATGGTTGTAAATGAGAGACTTTTCATCAAATATTCTACAGTTTGTGTGTGTTTTATCATCCCTTTCAGGCCATCGTATAAATGGAAGCGGCAGGTGACTCAGCGTGTCCCGTCAGTGTCCAAAAAGAGGAAAATGTCCCTGCTGTTTGACCACCTTGATTCCTGTGAGCTGGCTGAACACCTGACCTACCTGGAGTACAAATCCTTCTGCAAGATCCTGGTCAGGCTGTAGTCTGTGATTAAACTGTGTGTCGAGTGTTTACAGCTCTTAAATTCCTTGAATTCTCAAGTAATGCCACATGCTGCATGCTCTCTGTAGTTGCTAAGCAATACTGGTAAAAATCAACTTTTACTGGCGGTAATTATGTTTGTTTTCTCCAAACATGTTGCTCTTTGAGTGTTATTTTGAGAAGCAAAAGCATGATTGGGTTGGGTGCTGCTGATTTAAATGGTAGACATTTTTAGATAGTTTATTCAAGTGTGATGTGTTGGTGGTATGAGTGCTGGTAATTGGTCTTCTTGGCTTTGTCTTTGCTTCCTTTCCAAAATAGATGCTGGCTTAATATAAAACCAAATGAGTCATGGTATAAAAAGAGCATTTAGTTTACTATGTAAAATGCGCAGTGATGTTGCTGTTCTGCATCTCCCCTTTATTTCCTAGTAAAGACTGGCTTTATCAATCAGCCTGTTGGCTGCTTTGTTATCATCGTTGATGCCTTAAAGCAGTGGTTCTCAAAGTGGGGGGGCGCGAGAGACCAGGAGGAGAAATGGTTATTAAAAAAAAAAAAAAAATCATAATTTGAAACATTATTGATTCGAAAATAATATGATACAGTACAGTACTATTACGTCTGGGTCTCTGTGTTTCATTAAAGCTCGACTCTGTGTGCGTGTGGAACGAGCCATTTTGTGTGCGTGAGCGAGAGAGAGAGAGAGAGAGAGAGAGAGAGTGCACCGGTACCGGAGATCGTTGTTATTAGCTTCTGGTGCTAGCGAGCTACGCTAACGGATATAAGGAGTTTTTTCAACAACAAAGTGGAGGAGAGTCCTCTCCTGTCAGATTGAGAGACTCAGTGAGCTAAAGGACTCTCAGTGTTATCTCTGTGGGTCTCAAATGTTTTGGTCACCATTAATGTAAACAATTATTTCCGAGGCACACCTTTATATGATCATTATAGTTATACAAAAATAAGAGAATAAATGAAAAACAGGTATGAAATACTATATGACAGTAAAACAAGAATAATGTTTAAAAGGGTGATTTGTAAAATATCCATAAAGAAAAAGTAAATCTGTTTACAGTTCTGTTTCATATGGGTGTTGAGAGAGGTATCCATAGATCTCTTCATTTTGCTCTCAAAGTGCACCAGATTGATGCTTTCAACTTCAATATTTAAAAATAAATCTTCCCGGGGAGCTTGCCCCCGGACCCCCCTATGTGAGGTCCACACACCACCTGTAAAAATAGCACTTTACCCCTGCTTACACCTATATGCCGTGAGCTGATTATCGAGCCTTCATTGTAACAGTCGCGGGTACAGTACACTGTGTATTTGCGTGGGGATTGTTGCAGTAGAAAATTCCACTTAAGCGCCCGGTACATTAATGGGAAACCCTAAATGTTTGAGCACCCTCTATGAAACGTCAAGCTACCCCACAGCACCCCCAAAAGAAGTCTCTGGCGCCGCCACTGAGCCTGACTATTTGTGTTGGGGGGGCCCGACTTTTTTTTTTCTCCAATGGGGGGGCCTGACAGAAAAAGTTTGAGAACCACTGCCTTAAAGGGATATTTTAACATTGTTCTAAATAAACTTACTATAAAACAGAGAATTGTGGATTTTAAACTTAAGTGTCTGTACAGATAAACAAAACATAATATAACAGGTTCATAAGTACAGGTGTTAGATTGGGGATTTTGTTTTGATAGGTCGCCTTTTCCCCCTTTTTAATTATTTACGCTAAGCTAACCAGCTACTGCCTGCTGCTACATGTTACAGCGCCACGGCTTCCACAGATGAATTTTTTTAACGTATTTATTGTCAAAGCATTTAATGTATTCATTGCTATCGGGATGTTAATAGCATTCCATGGAATATAACAAAAAGTGTTTCTGAAATGAATTACCTACCCCTCCTTTAAGTATAGGTCAAATGCAATGTGGATTGTGGATTTAGTTAGACCCTTCAAGACATTTTGCAACACCATTTAAAGATATCAGTTTCACAACTTATTTTAATAATCAAATGTGTAATGCTCCTACCTCCTCTCAGTTTCAGGACTACCACAGCTTTGTGATGCACGGCTGCACGGTGGATAACCCCATCCTGGAGCGTTTCATCACCCTTTTCAACAGCGTCTCCCAGTGGATCCAGCTCATGGTGCTCAGCAAGCCCACCGCCCCGCAGAGGGCCGCCGTCATCTCCCACTTCATCAGGGTGGCACAGGTCTGTCTGCAGTAAACAGCCCTAATGGACTCACACAGAGACAGAGCTGGCAGGAGGGGGGGGGATGATTGCCTGCAGCCACAGAGACAGACGAGAGAAAGTCGAAGAAAGGTGAATTAGTGATTAAACTAAGAGATGTGGAGAAGCGAGGAAAAGTCACAGCACTGATTTGAAATAAGATGGATCATTTCCCATTCAGGGGCACACACTTGGAGAAAAAGTGAGTTTAATTTAGAAAGGCTTTAGAGGGATTAGCATGGTAAGATGCCCACTGAGACCTCTTTAACATAATGCTGCTGCCAAGGGAAAGCATCTAGGAACTATTGTTTTAGCTAGGTAATGATGCATTTGTGGCATTATCCAAACAGCTTTTATGGATCCAAGGGGTTATGAAAGTGTCTAAAACAATGCATGAGCAGGTAAACATTCATTTGAATGAATGGAAATCACATAATCACCTATTTTTCCCGAAAGAGTGTGAGCCAAGACAGAACATATACAATGATACACAGTGTGCACTTCCTGTTGGTTAGACATTATTCACTGATATAAATCTACAATACAGGAATCAGTGGACATTGTTTGAAGGTGGGATTACTGCAGAGATAAATAAAGGGTGGTCGGGAGACTGTGGTGCATTTTAGGTAACATAAACATACATCAATGAGAAAATTCCCAATTTCTCCCTCTCAGTTTAATGTGTTAGAGTGCTACTTTATTTTAGGAGGTAACAAATTACTATGCCATTAGTTTTGCATGTAGTATCATTTGTCCTTAGAGTGGCTGTAGGATGCATCATTGGGGACCAATTAATGCCGGTACAAAATGTTTTTGTATCTAGTAGATGCAGAGATATTTTAATAAATAATTAATCATTTTAAACACTGGAGGAAATGATTAAATGAATGCTGTTATATGGTTAATATATATTTTTTTCCTGCAAGTTCAGCTTCACTGGAATTACTATCCTTCTTAACTGAGTGCTAACTTGTTACTATTAAGGGGACAGTTGTCTTTTTAACAATGGTAAACTTTGGTCAGTTGCAAAGATTTGTGTAGAAGCATTACACTTTTCCATGTATCTCAATTTCTCTGCTCATAGTAAATGAATCCAGTTTCCAACTTGCTGCCCTACTGTATTTGGCTCTGTGCCCATATGTCTTGAGACTGTCATTCACTGTTGATACATTTTCAGTTTGATGTTATCGTTTGCTCTGCCAGATGGGCTGAGGTCTCCCTGTATGGCAATTCACTCATTTGTGCAAGGCGAGGGTGCTTCAGTGGACCATTGAAAGAGCAGGAAATTATTCTCATCCGAATAGCCTGCAGTGCTATGTGAATGCATCCTCATTACTCATTTTCCATCTGTCCTTCTCTTCAGTTATAACAAACGTCTGTCCCTCATCATTTATTGAGCGAGGTCTCAGCAGGTTTGAACAGATCCATCTTAATACACCATCACTCCAAAACGTCAGCAGGGCTCTCTTGCTTATTCACACTCCTTGACATTGAGCAGGACTTTTCCAGTGTTTCCTGGAACTTTGACAATGTAGTAGTGATGCTGATTCTGAACCAGCATAATGCATATGACAGATCAGCTAATAAAAGCCTGATAATTATATCCAATGGTCTCCCACCTCCTAATCTTCCTTTTTACGTTTCTTTTCATCACCACAATCAGTGTCTTTTGGTGAATCTCTAACATAGGAAGTGTAATGGTAATTAGAATTTGTTAGCATAAACAATGCTGAATGGTCGTGAACATACAAATAATTGCAGGATATCATACTTATTTTATTTTTCACCCATTAACAATGATCAATTCTCTTTTAAAAAGAGTTTTAGATTCTCTCTTAGCATTGTCATTGCTAGCATGTTAGCAATGTGTTGTTCCATTTAACTCTTAGCATCGGCGTGCTTTAGGGTAGCCACACAGAAGCGCGAGCATGACTCGTATTACAACGAGCACTTCCCACTTTGCACCCATGTCCTTTTGGCCATGTCATTCATTCAGAAATAGTGAACATTTGGGCACAGACCATCCCTGCTGAAAAGTCTCATGGTGAATTCAATTTCAAATGTCTCAAACTTTGGTATTTAGTATGATAGCCGAGTATGAGCACATGCAGGGACAAAACATTTCCAACAAAATACCAAGTGCATTCATAGGCCACACAGGAGCTAGTCCTGACATACTTGACATTTCCCAAAGCTTCCCTCAGGGTGCGCCGGTCGTACAATTTTAGCCTCCTGTTGGGAGTGCATCACAAACGACTCACATCCATTAGTCTTAGCTGTGCAGACTGCTATTATAATTTAAAATGAAAAAACATCCCTTTCATGCTCATTAAAAAGACCCATTCTAATTTATTTCACAATATGGTACGTGTGCATGTGTCTGTGCCTTCTGGCTTTGAATAAATAGCCACATCACCAATCGGCTGAGTGCCAACAGTTGGTGAATCCCTCTCGTAGCCCTTTTATATAAACACCATTTATTCTACTCCCAGTGGAAAGCCCTGGCATGTTGACAACGAGACCTTTCTGACGGTCACATGCACATGCAGTTTAGCCGAACGCACTCTGTGAATGCGAGGCTGCCTTTCACACTGCTTTGCCAATTGATTCCAAAGGGTGTTTGAGCTGAACCAAATGATCCCCTCTGGCAGCCCACCCACACAGCTGCGACCCCATCGATTTTTCTGTGAGATGCCACACAGGCTGAAGGGCGGCGGGGAGCCCTGCGGAGCGCCATTCACAAAGTGTTAGCTTAACTTTGACATAGACAGGTTACAACATTCAGTCATATTTTGGTATTCCAGATCGAGTTAAGTGCATGCTGCTGAATTTGTTTTACTCATACTGTAAAATGTTTTTTTAACCTCCACCACCTCGCCCTATACAAGCATTCCCTGTCTCCTCTTTCACCCTCAGAGTTATTTTGTCCTCCTTCTCGTTGACAGAAGCTGCTGCAGTTGCAGAACTTTAACACACTGATGGCTGTGGTGGGCGGCCTCAGCAACAGCTCCATCTCTCGTCTCAAAGACACGCAGACCCACATCAGCGCCGAGACCAACAAGGTGCAGTAGCTGCTAGCATCCTCTCAACCTTCACTGATCTCTTTCTGGCACTCACAGCGTAAACACCACCACACAAATTCAATGTTCACTGCGTGTCGATGCACTTAGCGAAACAAGTGATATTACATCTTGATTCAGTAATCCGCATCTTCTCCGCATGAGCTGCCAAGCTCCTTATCTGTGCCCATTACTCCTACTCTGTGGGTTTTGAGAGCTATGAATCGAAGCCATGTAACTCAAAAGTTGGGTTGCAGTCTCGTCTGTTATGTGAGTCCATCTGGATCAAAGTTTTACACAATGTTTCTGATTCTTCTAAACAAATCTCTCTTGAGAAAGGCTTTGTGTTTGCTGCCAACTCATCTTCTACCATTGTTCACCCCTTAAAGGTCCCCTATTATACTGTTTTTCATCAATATATTCTCACATATACAAAACATGTCTCTGAAGTGTTTGGCTGAAACACCAAACAGATCATTGCAGCATCCCATAATCCCCTCTGTTTCAGCCCTGTTTCAAAAGTGCTGATTCTCTGGCTGTTACTTTAGATGAAAATAAGGAGCCCCTCCCCACGCCCCTCTGAGAGACATTTGGTTACAAAGAACACAATGGTGCTCTAGGAGGAGATTCAGGTGATAAGGGGGGGGGGGGGGGGGGCTAATGGTTACACAAGCCAAAAAATCGTTATGACATCATAAAGTGGCCAAAATCTGATCAGCTCATTTTCAGACAGGGTTCTATATAAATGGATCAGGACAGAATCTTTGTTCGCATGTTGAAATTATTTCCATTCACCCAACCTGCAGGTTTTTAATAACCTCATTGAACTGGTGACATCATGTGGGAACTACAGTCAATACCGCAAGCGCTTCTCAGAGTGCTCAGGCTTCCGGTTCCCCATCCTCGGCGTGCACCTGAAGGACCTGATAGCCGTGCACGTGGCGCTGCAAGACTGGGCTGATAAAGAGAAAACACGGGTCAACCTGACCAAGACCCAACAGCTGTACGCCATCCTTCAAGAGCTGGCGAGGATCCAGACCACACCGCCTCACATCGACGCCAACACAGACCTGCTCAACCTGCTGACGGTGAGTAAGAACTGGACAGAGTATGTATTTGCAGCGTCCAAGATGTTTGGATTGAATTAGAGTTGTAAAGAACAGCTTGTACCGGGTAAAATCAGGGCCTGCATTAGGTGCATTGAGTGTGTTATTCATCGTGAAGGCCAGAAGTTGAAGGCACTCGAAAGCACCCAGACCGCAGTGAAGTGGAGGGAAAAGTTTGTGAAGGACAGGCCGTCTGTGATACACAAGGTTTGTTCCGCTTTGGTTTGCTTGGCCAGACAGACTGTACAGTAGCCAGCTGAGAGGAAATCTGTTTACAGGCATAGGACTGAGATCACGTCCAAAGCTTTCAAGGCATGAACCTTCACAGTTTTCTATTTTCCTGAACAGATGTGGTCCACAGTGGTCTTGTGTCGGTATGGTGAGAACCACTGAGAGTTGCCCTTTGAGTAAAAAGAACATAACATGAGTGATACAGAGAGGGTTAAACAATGCATTGAATTCTACATCTTTGGTTGTCAGGACGAAGAGTCATCACCTATTTATAAACATTACTGAACTTTAAATTGTTAACCTGTGCTGAGACCTCTTGTCTTTTCCTGTATCCTGAAGACTAAAAAGATTCTACTGTCGGAGCGGACCAAAAAGAGTACCTTAGTGAAATAAGCATCTTCTTAAATCTCAACAATGTTGCAGATAAATATATTGTGTCATCACTGCTTTTACATTTGAACTTCTTCCACAAAGTATTTGTATGTCTTGGCTGACAAAACCTTGCTCTCTTTCCTTTTATTCCACTTTGTGTTGTATCATCCCATTACCAAGCATGAACTGGAATACATAGAAGCCTAAAATAAATACCCAAATCACATTCTGACCGTTACATACATTTAGCAAATGACACTTTTTACAGTTTAGAGCAAACAGCTACAACTCAAACAAATCTGGAAACCTGTACTACAGCATGTGTGGTGTTTTCACACTACACACTAATCCCCTGAGGTGTGTTGGAGTATTTTTGGCAGATGCAGATACGATTATCCCGAATTCGAGAAGCGTTCTGTATTCAAATAATCCCGAGAGTTTAATCAATGTGGCTGCAGGTGTTCATGTGAGATTTCAGCTAGTTCCTCTTTCTCTCGTTGAAAGTGAAAGAAACAACTTGACAGGTTTTTTGGGCACCAGGGAAGTTTGTCAATACCCAATTATCTTATGCCACTGCTTATCACAGTTGATCTATCTTAAATCCAAGGTGGGTAAAGCGAGAACAGAAAGAAAGTCAATACATCCTTCAAAATAGTCCTTTCAAAGTAAGTAGATTTCATTACATCACCTTGGATGTAACCTTCTCCCTGATATACTGTAAGCTCCATTAGATGAGAAGGCCAAACAAGACTAAACACATTATTTCCTTCTGCACTTACCACACAATAAAAAACAGGAAATACAATTACGCTAAGAAAATTGCTCTGAGGAAAGCAACATCATTTGAGGCCAACAATGGATGAAGTGAGGAATTGAATGTGGCAGAAAACACTCACTTGTTGCTATAGCGGCTGTGTAGATGTAAAAAATGGATATACTAAAATATTCCTAAAAATAAGAGTTTAATGTGTATGACGGCATTTTGGTGTCTTTGTGTCTATTTCACATTTGCAGTTGGACTAAATCTCAAATTCAAAGAAATGATCTTTAAACATCTATTTATTAACACCTAAACACAATCTGTTAATGTTGTGTCTTTACCTGTAAACCTTTGTTAGATTTGTACATTTGATTTAACTAGTGCCTTTACTCTTTATGACTGTTTTCATAACTGCTTTTTATTGTTATACTAATTTGCATTGAGAGAAGCCTCTAAGATTTCATTGTACACGATAATATAATGCCAATAAAGATCTTCAGATTCCCTGATGTCAAATATGGAGACATACAAGTCCCACTTTTCTGTTCTGTGCAGGTGTCTCTGGACCAGTACCACACGGAGGAGGAGATCTACCAGATGTCTCTACAGAGAGAACCTCGCAAGCCAGCGGTGAGCAGCACACTGATGTACCCTTTGTCTGTTCTACCTGTCTTGCCATGATGGATGATCACATTGCATTTTAAAATGGATTTATTTGCCTTCCGTCATCACATTTCCACTTCAGTAACCTTTGACCCATGCTATGTAGAGCGACCGTCTTCTCTTTACTTTGTGGGATTGCAGCATGTGTTTCCCCGGGCTGACGCTGATCGTTGTTTTCTAATGTTTTTTGTAGCAGAACTCCAGCCCCGCCCCCGCGCCTGACCCCAAGCCCACCATGATCGATGAGTGGTCCGTGTCGGTGAAGCCCAGCACCGATCCCACCATCATCAAGAAACACATAGAGAAGATGGTGGAGGTGAGTTTTGTTTCGCCCCTAAATGTTCCTCTCTCTCAGCTCTGATTGTGACCTGAGGGACAGAGGAAGGCTGAGGGAGGATTATCTGTGGTTATCCTCTCCCTCATCTTGACATGATAACTGCAAAGGGCTCTTGGCTATTTGTCCAAATGGTTAGTAATCTTTCATCAATCCCTGTGACTCTACTGTGGGTGATGGTTTATGGTTTCTTTTTGCTTGGAATTGAAAGTATTAAGAGTTCTGTGTTTGTAAGGAACATAGACTCTATGAAGAAGTAGACATGAGCCAGTTCAGTAGTTGCAAAAACAAGTCGGATTGTGTTGAAACCCATGGGGAAATGTTCCTACTTCCTACTTCAGTTACTACATTTGTAAACATTTTCCTAATGAGTTGATGGTCTTGAACCGTTGGTTTCAAGTCGTCTTCAATATAGCATGATTTTCATTTGTAAATAATGGACCCAATTTAGAGTAAAAAGACAATTAAGCAGCTTTAGTCATTACCACAGTGACCTGCTATCTGACTCAGAAGAATCTTAAAAGTTTGAATCTCAGAATAACTTAAGAAATCGTAATGTCCAACTTTCTCAATACAATTTCAATGTTTTGATCCAGCACAGAAAATAAAACAAATACCTTTCTATCCCATAAGAATCTAAACTTGGCTATTTTTAGCAGCAAAACATTCTGAATTCACACTGAACCAACCAACTGTCACATTCACAGTCAGTCTTCAAGAACTTTGACTCAGACGGTGACGGCCACATCTCTAGGGATGAATTTGAAGCCATAAGGAACAACTTCCCATACCTCAGCAAGTTTGGAGAACTGGACAAGAACCAGTAAGGATTTTTCTTGTTTAATCACTACTGTTAAATCCTTGTAGTTTTCAGACTGAGCCAACTCTACTTATCTTTGTTTCTCTCTCACAGAGACGGGAAGATCAGCAGAGAGGAGATGATCGACTACTTTATGAAAGCCAGTTCTCTGCTCAACTGCAAGATGGGTTTCATCCACACTTTCACTGAGAGCACCTACGTCAAGCCCACGTTCTGCGAGCACTGCGCCGGCTTTGTGAGTAAACACCCACTACTCTTGTGTAATCATCTTTCGAGATAGTCTATTACCTCACTTATTACCCCAATGCATCCTTAAAATGGACAACATAGTATCTGCAATGAAATAAGGAATTAGATGTCTCTAACAAATATTGATATTTTTTCCGTTTAATTATTGGTTTTCAAATGCATGGATTTCTTGCCTGACCGAATCAATTGCAACGTTTGTTTGAAAAAAAGGTCAAAGGTCAGTTGAGTCATATGGACTATCTGCACTTCATTACATGTCATCTCTCAGAGGTTCCTCCTGTCAGGTCAGGGCAATACCAATTACTTTGAGCTGTAGCCACACACTGCTGAAGTTGCATTCTGGGAAATATGGAGGAAGGTAATTGGGCGAGATGATAACCCTCCTCTGTGGCAGTGTTACATCTATGTGTATGTGTGTGTGTGTGTGTGTGTGTGTGCCCCTTAACATCTGTCTAAAGTCCCCTGAGGAGCTCTGTGTTATTAAGACGCAGACAATGTCAGCACTCAGCTGTAATGAGAACAGGAGCATGGCCCTAATGTTGAACTGCTGACACGCAGATGACACCGCATTCATTTGTGTGTACTACATGTGGAGAGAAGCTCAAGAGGAAATGCTCAAAAGAGAAGTATGCCATATGTGTAGACGTTCAAAAACACTCAAAGGAGCGCGGCATACATAAAGATGCACACATTCTCCAGGGCAGCATTTTCAACCCATCATGAAGGGAAACGGTGAATAACGAGCAGAGAAAGATAAGGACTCTGACACTGTGTGCCTCTCCTTTTGAATACGATTGTGTGGCAGAAGTAGATACACTAGCCACTTCCTGTTCAGCCTGCTTGGGCCTTCCTCTTGGCTCCTGTACAAAAACAATATTTTTTCGCAGCCCATTTTTCAACACTTGTCTCAAAAACGCTGTTCAAGCCCTTCTGTAAACACGGCAGAGTTCACCCACATCTCGCATGGATCATCACGCTCTTCTGCCTGCAGCCCCCTTTAGTCTGAATTCTAATTAATGGCAAACAGATGCGTTTTACTGAACGGACAAAACGATAAGACACAGATCACAGAGTGTGATTTTTTTGTACATCTCACGAGAGTACGGCAGGTCTTTAGCTGGAGGCTCTGAGCACTTTAATATGAGAGATGGCAGAGAGCTATGCAAGTATCTTAAACATTTACGCTTCATAGAAACATAATTAAAAGGGCTGGAATCATTTTGTTGTTGTTGTCTGGCCTTGAATAGAATATGTTAAAATCATCTCGCTGGGGAAAATTGCTGTCAGGGCAATCTATAATTAAACAACAAATTCAGGCCCATTTATTGTCCTTTTTCACACCTACAGATATATTAGCTTCCTTTTTCTTATTTGGTGCATTTAGGTTCATAACGCTAAACCTTCCTTGAACAGAGTTGGAGAGCATGGCACACATATTTTTCTAGAAGCTGTAAATCTAAATAGGACTTTCTTCCGGCAATGTTCAAACCAGTTAAAAATACAAGCGGTACTGGAATGTTAAGCCATAAAATCAAGTGTAAAACTTTCCCTGTAGAAAGATTCTAGCAGAAACCTTTTTCCAGCCATTGAGACAAAATGGAGCACCAAAATGTGACTTCTTATTTAATAGACAAATAGATACATTTCACCAACAGGCCTTTAGAACCAACACAATTCCAAAGTGTGTTGTATAGAACAAGATTGCCATACGTCTTGTGGGAAAAACTGTTGATTATGCCAAAGAAAAAAGACCTGAGGAGAGTAGAGCAACATGTGCTGTCTAGCCAATCCAGATGATGTGAAATCTACTTTAGATACTGTTATTTCGATGTTGATATTTTGTGTTTCCACAATGATTAAAATGTCCACTCTTTCACACATTGTAAATCTATTTACAAAAGGTGGTAGCTGAATGACATGTGATTTTGGCACTCTAAAAGTTTGGTAGGAATAGATGGAAGGCCTTTTTGTAGCTGCGACAACATCACATGACGTTTTCCACATGAGCATCAATGTGAACATTCAAACATTTCATTGTGAAGTGCCAAATCTTGCCCCGATTTCCTCGAACCTTAGCGTAAACCGTCAAAGAGAGATAGTGTGTGAGTGTGTTTGCAGTCTTGTTTGTAGTGCATTGTGTGACTCACAGGCAGTAAAGGTCAGTCAGTGTAGGCAGAGCTGTGATGAGAGGTGTGTCTTTGCTCGTAACCGACTTCTTTGTTGTAGCGCCTCTGGCTGTTCACGCTCTCATGATGTGTATGTGTGTGTGTGTGTGTGTGTGTTTGTGTGTGTGTGTGTGTGTGTGTGTGTGTGTGTGTGTGTGTGTGTGTGTAGGTGCCTCTGTGTGTTTGTATGCATGTAGGCTTGTGTGTGTGAAGAGGTCAGGATATTTTGTGCTTCTTCAGATGTGCCAGTGCAGTGTGTGATCTCCAGCTCGGCTCTTTCATGTCATTGTTCCCCCCACTGTCTGTGGACTCCCCGTGTCCCGCTTGATCTCGCCCCCCCCCCCCTCTGTCCCGCCAACCTCCTCTCTAGCTCTCGCCCTTTTCTTTCCCCTCCATTGCGCCCCTTTTTCCTCCATCCTTTCGCTTCAGCATCAATGAGGCGCATCAAGATGTGAACTGTATGGGTGTTTTAACAAGTTTTAGCCCATTAACCGCTCATTGTTCATACTTCCTCTTTAGGTCGACCACTTCCACGTTTTTAATATACATTTGCTTTCAGGCAGTTATTGGTTTCCCATAATTCATTTCACTTTGTACCACAGCTTTTAGAGCCTTGGCGATGCATTTGACGGCGGCTGAGAGAAAATGCACGTTTGTTGTAAAGACTTTAGCTATTTAAAAGTTCAAATCAAATCAGCAAGTGGCCAAGTATGCCACATTGTACATTTTAAGTCTTGTAGATTTTCTCCCTTTAGTGAAGTTCATCTAGCTTTTCCTGGCTCATATCTCTCAGTAAATGCTGCTTCACTTTGAGGATTTTACCATTCCTCTTGCCCAAATGGGAATTAAATCACATCCTAATTAACACTCCACCCCATTACCCTTTATTCCTGTCTCTCTGCAGATATGGGGCTTCTACAAGCAAGGCTACAAGTGTAAAGGTAAGAGAGCAACACATTTAGATTTGACTCTGCTGCACCCTCACCAGTGAAGCCTTCAAATAATTAGTGATTATTTTTGAATCCATCGATTCCAAACCATCACACACCCTCTGTAGATAAAGATCCACAGGGTTGAAGAGCTGAGTAAATGTCAACGACACAGAAACCATGGCAAATAAATCACAGCCTTTAAATATATGTCCACATAGAAAGCTTGGTTGACTCAAAAACAGATAAGCTCCCATCAGCTGGGACCACAATACACACAATGCCATATTATGTCCCCTTTCCTGGCTCCCAATAGGTGTTTGAAGAAGCTGGTTGATTTCACAAATGTATACACACTGGCCACCTCCGACACCTTCTTCTCATTATCCTCAGAAACACACACTCTAACAGCGTGCTTCTTTTCCCTGATGTGCCGCCGGTGGTGTGTGTGCTGACGGTAAAAAGATTAAGTAGTGATCATCTGCAGACGTTCAGCGCAATAAATAAGTAACACTGCATATGTTTCCACCCAGATGCCGTGCAAAAAACGTTGGAAACGGTGCCAAATCTAAAATGCAAATAATGCAGGTTTCCATCTGCTGGAATCATTTGAGAAGTGATTGATTACAGCTCAGCTTTATGAATGGGAGAAGCTCGAGAGGGAGGATCATTTGCAGGCAGGATTTGTTTGTGCTTGAAGCAAAGGGCTCAGTGTGTCCCTGCTCCCTTCTTGCTTTCAAAAGCAGTGGTTTCTCACATTTTGAAAGTGTTACTGTACCAATGAAACTGGACCTGCAGTCACCCTATTCTTCTCTTTAAACAGGCATTATACTCTCTCTTGTTCTAGGCATTAACAGATTCCCCTTTCAGTCCGGTGCACCTAATGTTGGCTAATGCTTATTAAAAAGCTTGCAAGTTACCATCAAACATATGAGTTGCATAGCAACAAGATGAATTAATGCTCTTTGAGGTCTTGTGGTTACTCTTGTGTTTAGAAAGACAAACAATAGATTCTTGTTCTTTCCCCGCCTCATTTCTTAATTACCAGGACATGTTCGACTTAAAAGGGTTGCTTATCTTTTACTTTTAGTTCAAATTTAGATTTTTGGTGCTATGAACGCAGTAATTAAAAGCTATGTTGCTCACATGACTGCTGCTGTTGTGACACAAGAAGTGAAACATAGCATGGAGGTGAGAAGAGAACAAGCAGCAGCACTTTACACACTCACAACCCCACACGCTACACCCTGCCATCCCCTCTCCTCTCTGGAGGAGTGCATGTCTCAGAGTCGGACTGGGAGTGTTCTGGCTTGTTCCAGCGCATTAATGAGACCATAGGAAGTCAATGACAGAGCCCCCCCTAGCCATTCATCCCCATTAGCATTGTTAGCCTGTACTGAGGGAGGTAGAGAGAGTGGCAGAGACATCATTGAAATGAATCACCCTACGCAGTGCAGGCGTGGAGTGTGTTGAGACCTCTGAGTATGTGTGTGGATATAGTTGGATGTGTGTTTTGGGGCTGTAGACTTTATTAAGAATTAGATATGAGAGGCTCTCACTGTCTTTGAATCCAAGTTTATATTGGATATCACACTCCTATTTTTGATCCTCACTATTTAAATGAATAGCTCAAGATTAGGAATATTCACTGTGTCACTAAGAGATGATCAACACCACTTTTTATATTTGTTAAATGAGTGCCTGCTCTTCCCCTCAGTTTGAATCTTCATGCTAAGCTATGCTATTCAGTTGCTGGGTTTAGCTACATTTTCTTGACAGTGGTATACGTTTTCTTTTGTAACTCTCAGCAAGAAAACAAGTGTTCCTCCCAACATGTACAACTATTCCTGTAAGCCTAAAACACCCCCTGTTTTGTGGACATTTTAAGTATTATCCTCCCAGCCCTGGTGGTTCTCTGGCCTGAGTAGGCGGCTGCCAAAGTAAGAATAACACAGCAAAGTCAGAGCAACAAAACAAGAGAAAATAGTGCAGTGAACAATTTAAAAGAGAGGTTTTTAAACTGCCTCTAACTCAACAGTTCAAGGTAGACAGTTAATGAAGATGCGAAGAGAAATAATCAACCTCCTCATCAAAGGAAACATGGATGTTGTCTTTTAACTAAATCTAAGAGTCGAGGGAAGGCAAATAAGATAAGATAAGACAAGAGGTACTTTATTGAAACATCTCAATAGAAATAAAATAACACATACATGTTGAACTACAAATGTACAGTAACAAAATATAAAGCAGGATATTATATATATATGTGAGGAATGGAATATTAAATATTAGATTGAATATACATGTACAGTGTGATATTAAGTCCAAAGAGCTTAAAAACAGCTTTGTAGAATGTCTCTAAAAGTAGGAAAAGGTGATTTTGGTCACTGTGTCCAAACTAAACTACAGTGATGTGTGTGTGGCTACTTACATGTGTATGGGATGCCTTGCTCACGCTCCTCTCCTCTCAGACTCCCCCGGGTTGAAAGAGTTGTGTTCAGGCACAGTTGGCCTCAGTGCATGTGCATGTGCGTGCCAGTGTTTGTGTGTCTGCATGTCGTGTAGAAGATCATTCCCGTCTCCACTGGCTCTTCCGTTTGCCCCAATGTTTTCTTTTTCCCCCATGTCTCTCCCTTCCTCTCCACCTCTCCTTGCCCCCCCCCCCCCCCTCCTGCAGCCTGTGGGGTGAACTGCCACAAGGCCTGTCGGAGCCGCCTGGCCGTGGAGTGCAGGAAAAGGACGAAGAGCATCAGCCACGAGACGCCTCCCGCCCTCCAGGCCAGATCCTACAGCTTCCCCCCACCTGCCAACACTCCACCCAGCCTGCAGCACTCAGGTGAGCTGCTGTTAGGACAACATATGTTTTACGTACTCTTTATATGGATTTTATTTGGTTTGGTAAACATTGGCTCTTCAAACTGAATCGTAAAAGAAATTAGCCCTAGGCCTGCATGGAATAGTTTCATTCGTTTTCTTGATTTTAAAAAACACACAACATTTACTGATGCTCTTTAGAGGTGAAAGAATCAGATCTTGTACTTAAGTAAACGTAGAAGTACCAGAGTGTAGGAATACTCTGTTACAAGTAAAAGTACAAAAGTATTAGCATCATAATACTTAAAGTACCAAAAGTACTCAGTATGCAGATTGGCCCATTTCAGAATAATATATATGATATGTTTTGATTATAGTTATATTTTGATGACTTTGTATTCTGCAGGGCAGCTTGTAAATGTTAATCCAGGTGTTACTAAAGGCTTATTTAAGTGCTGATTGTATTTTAAATGATTGATGTGCCTCCTAATTGTAGTGGGGTAGAAGTACATTGTATCAAAACATTTAAATACTCAAGTAAAGTACCCTAAAATATGGTACTTGAGTAAATGTACTTAGTTACTTTCCACCACTGTCATTATAAAGTTGAAAAAAATCGAATGTACAGTGTAATGCAGGCTCCCTAACCCTTTGAGAAAAGTATATCTCAGAGGATTGTTATATCACATTCTCAGCACTGCATGTCACCGCTGCAACACCTCCACTTTTCAAAGGGCGCTTTGCTCTGAGCATATAGAGCACTGACATTTGGAAGATTTTCTCACTCAAAAGGTGTAATTTGCAATGGAAATGTGATTGGCTCAGTGACCTGGGCGGTGTTTTCATCAGCAATAAGTAAAAGTGCTGCCCTGTCTGGCTTTGTTTAATATCAGTGTGAAGTTGAACCTCCTCGACCAATGAGCCGGACAAGGGAACTGGCAGAGTAAACACACAGAAGCCACACATTCTCATCAGCTGTAGGCAGTGATTTGCATTTTAAATTTCATTGACTAATCTATTCTTGCTTACGCTGTTTCAGTAATTGCTGAAGAGGATTTAGAGACCTTGGAGGAAGGAGTGTTTGATGTCCACCTATAACCAGTTGACTGAGGTGAGAGAGTGCTGCTCACTTTCAATGCTATTCTTACACTGATTGCATTCAAACTATGATTGTTATTGATGTGCTTAGTGTGAAAAATACGTTGCATGGAGAAAAATGTGATCATCAGTCACATTTTATGAACATCTGCTTTTTGATTGCCGAGCATGACTGTGAATAATAATCATACAAGAATAATAATGCAGCACAAAATAGAAAAATAGACGGACTGAGCATAAACAGGGAGAAAAATGCCTTAATTAAGGTACAATAAGTGGGAAAATAAAACAAACTTGAAACAATATGATCAAATAAAATGTAAAAAATAACACATTACCCAACATGCATCCTACATGCATAACATAAATCAATACATAATAAAACATACATTTTATAGTTGACCGCTGGATATAGGTTTAACAGAAGGTGGTTATTCCTGGAAAGAAAGAAAATAAATGTATTCCTGGAATTGTCCACCAATTCTTAATTTTTTTTAATGAATCCATCAATAAAGGGAAGCTGAGCAGGAAATACCTGAATGTCATCTTCTGACATTTTTTGCATGGGACCCATTAAGACACGGCAAAGCCTTCTTATAACCTTTCAGAAAAGTTTGCATATGAATATGAGTTGTGAGAAGTTTAATAAAAGAACAATTCTCACATTGCTGTATTTGAATAATGTGTAAAGGCCTACAGATGTGAAATGAATCAGTATTTAACCACAAAAAAAGGCTATGGAATTGGGAGTTAACCTGGGAAAATGTTCTTCTTTCTTGTCGTCATTATTAATACAAATATGTTGGCACATGACACAAAACAGGCATACCAGATCAACATAGACCCCGGAGGCTACATTAGCAATTAGTTTGTTGCAATTTGATCATGCATACATATTTGTTTATAATATAACAAAAAGGTATTGAAACTGTATTTTGACACAGGCACTTAAGATTGTAATCACCACTTTAAGGCAAGTTTTAATTAAGATTACACAGTGACTCAGGGCTCTGTGCGACACAGTGCTGGTGTTTTTCTGGATGTATTAGTCATTGTATCCCAATCCATGCAGGAGCCATGGACTGAAGTTTGATTTTGTCCAACAGGCCAGTCTGCAGCTCTCTATTTTAGAATCCCTCCTACGGCTGGTGTGCACGAAGCTAAATCAGCGTCTGTGGGGCCCTGACACCGAATGTGCTACAGTACGTCAGTTTTACAGCCCTCAAACTGAAGAGAAATGCACTGAACACAAGCCAGGATCCCTCCATGCTGCCACACAGTGGACACATCCTGCAACAGCACCCCCACCCAACTCACATGAATGTGAAGACCAATGTGAATGGAATGTCTTTGTATGAAAATAAATGTACAATCTCTGCATTATGATTCTGTATTGGCCAAAAGTGTTACTGTTAAACTTACTATATATTTAAAAAGATATCCACAAAATTGTATTTTCTTCGTGGAATGCTAAAGTCAGTGGAGTTTATAATTTCAGTGCACAATCGAAATGGCTGTCTACATTTTTATTTTCTGTAAAAAAACAAAAACATAACAGGTGCTGTTATCGCCAAGAATGTAAACCAGACAGCTACTGTCTTCTTTGCCTGAGAAGCTTTTTATTGTACATCATGTTATTTTGAAACACATTTCAATGGACCAATAATAATAGGACCCATTTTGATGTCAGATATAATATTGTTGATTCGTGGTGCATGATGACAAAAGCAAACAATGTTTCCGAACGCTGAAATGACTGTGTGGACAGTTATGATTAGAAAGGACTTTGATCAATGTTATATTTTTGTCATGTTTACCAGAATATCAGTAACTGTCCTGTAGTTATTGCTGTGGTGTTGTTCTCAGTATACAGTCCTGTCTTGTACCAGTGCATTGATAGATGATCCATCCTCTTGCAGTGCTGTGAATGTAGCACACACAGTAAAACGCTGCTGTCAGATAAAGATCTCATTTTCCCTGAGACTGTATGCTGACAGCGGAGAGTAAAAGCCTGGCTAACGTTAACTCAGTTTTTGTTCCCGGTTCTTAGACTGTCAGTGAAAACAAAAGAATCAGAAGAATAATACCAACATTGGAGTAATGAATCTCTCCATCCGACAGCAGCGTATAAATATTATATTATTTCCCTGAGAATCTGCTTTGATGCAAGTTGTATTTTGCTGTTTTGATCCTGCATGCTTCTCCTTTCATGGCTCTATTCTCTGGCCAGACATCTCTATTGCTGAGGATCTTTTTTATTTTTAATGTAGCATGCCAAGTCATCATTTATTTAGGAAACATGAAGTGTTGAAATTCCAACAGAGGAAATGTTTATTTTGCTTTGTGCCTGTGGAGAGATGAGTTCAGACTTTAAGAGCCTACTGTTAAGCGCTGGTTGGTTTTTGAATGAGAATCCTCACATTGCTGGTATTTATTTTTCTGTATAAATAGCTAAATAGCTGCCGGTTCTATTCTGACGAATGATGTTTGTTGTCATTCTGTGAATGCATTTTTCAGACTGATGTCATGCTACTCCTTGTGGTCGATTCCCCAGTATTAAAAGCAGCAGGCATCACTCCAATATGTGTTCTCATTCAGAAAAAGGTTTTGTCTCTATGAAATTCAACACTTTTGTCCGTGAATCTAAGGTTTTTATTCACTTTGATGATCCTTCACTTTCAGGATATTTTCAGCTTTTAGCGGCTGCTTTGATCTGAAAATACATCCTGATCTACTTCCTTAAATGTCAGTTAATTTTTGTAATCCCAGGTGAAAGCTGGCTTTTTTTGATGTTTTAACTTGAAGAGTTTAAGTGTAAGAATTAAAGCCTGGGTTGGGAAAACTTAAGTTATTAAAACTTTCTTTTAAACTGAACCTAAAGAACACACACAAAAAAAATCTAAGTTATTTTTCTCTGTTCCTGAAAAGGCTTAGATTAGAGGCACTCTAAACAGTGATAATGTAATGCTGTGTAAGCTGAATCTTTCCCTGCATTGGAAGCACAATTCAAAATAGTCCAGTTGAATAAAACATTAGGCATCCAACTCTGAGGCAGATGCCAGATGATTAGGGAGGACATTTTTTCTTATTTTACATAACATAGCCTATTAGAATTTGACCAAAATAGCCCACAGCACATTGCTACTTATTAATGCAACTATCATTTCACAGAGGTGGGAAGTAGTGGAGTACAAATACTTTGTTACTGTACTTAAGTACATTTTTCTGGTATCAGTACTTTACTCCACTACTTATTCTTCTGACGACTTTTTAGTTTGACTTCTTACCTTTTTAAACACAAAGACCTGTACTTTCTACTTCTTACATGTTGAACACAAATACCTGTACTTTCTACTTCTTACATGTTGAACACAAATACCTGTACTTTCTACTTCTTACATGTTGAACACAAATACCTGTACTTTCTACTTCTTACATGTTGAACTCAAATACCTGTACTTTCTACTTCTTACATGTTGAACACAAATACCTGTATTTTCTACTTCTCACATGTTGAACTCAAATACCTGTACTTTCTACTTCTCACATGTTGAACTCAAATACCTGTACTTTCTACTTCTTACATTTTCCAAACAGCTGGTTCCTTTAGTTTGAATGTGTGTTTGGTGCGTGATCATTATTATTTAGAGTCATTGCGTGCCTATTAGGGGTGTAACGGTTCACAAACATTTCGGTTCGTTACGTACCTCGGTTTTTTGGTCACGGTTCGGTTCGGTACGTTTTCGGTACAGCAGAATTTTTTTTCACAAAACAAAACATATATATATTTTTATTATTATTATTAAACTGTGAATAATGTATTCACTCAAATAAATACAAAATATAATAAAATAAACATTAAGGTGCAGCATTTCGATGAACTGAAATAATCTGTATTTGAACTGTACTGTACTAGTACTCACAAAACATAAACTATTAGTTTTGGGTTTTTAATTATTATTAAACTGTGAATATTCACTCAAATAAATACAAAATATAATAAAATGAACATTAAGGTGCAGCATTTCGATGAACTGAAATAATCTGTATTTGAACTGTACTGTACTAGTACCTAAGCAGCCAGTTTGACATTAGGACTTGCTTGTCATTGTATTTTCATGTTTTTTTAAAGAAAAATTAACTTGTCCACATTGCTTGCTGAAAGGGCAGATCTGCTGGCACTAACAATGTCTCCTGATGTGGAGAAAACCCTCTCGCTAGGGACAGAGGTAGCAGATACAGCCAGGTAGCGCTTTGCTAACATGGCAACATAAGGATATTTGGTGTTTGTAATAGCTTTGGCTCGGTCTGAACTCTCTGCGAGTGGTGGAGGCTTAAATGCTAGTGGGAGTTGGGTTTGCACTTCAGTCTTTTTTCTTTTGGTACCGGTGATATTCACGTTCGGGTGATGCCTTTTCAAGAGTGCGCAAGTTTGATGTATTGCCAGCCGCGTAACCAATTTTAGTTGAACAATGCCGACAAACAGCTTTGGTTCGGTCCACCTGTCTTTGTCCGTCATCCTTGTACGTAACTGCGAAACTAAAATGTTCCCAAACCGGAGACTTCAATGATGCTGGAGGATTTTCGAGCTCAACTTTATCTGCGTTCGCCATTAATTTTTGACAGTTCCTCAAATTACTGACTACATTTGAACGCATCCCTCTGACCAGCTCTCATAGTATGCCTCTCATCCAATGAAATGACTTGCTCGCTCTATGACGCGTTGAACCCAATGTGAGCAAATTACTCTGAATGCTGCGACGCAGCACCTGAGATTACTTCCAAAAAGTTATTCACGTTCTCAATTTTTTACGTTTAACGTTATATTCGTTCGGTACACTTCGGTACACACCTGTACCGAACCGAAGGGCCCGTACCGAATAATTTCGGTACGGGTACGTGTACCGTTACACCCCTAGTGCCTATTGATTTGAACACGATCCGTGTATCCATCATTTCCTGGTCTTCTCTAAAGAAGAGGGACCAATGGAAACGTTGTCATGTTGCCGTTGTTCAGCATGGAAACATTCATTAGCTAACAATGACATTATTGTTCTATTAATATAAAGGGAGGTCAGGTACTCTTTAAAACAGCTGCTAGTTATGGGTACTTTTTACTGAAGTACATTTCAAAGCCCATACTTCTTTACTTTTACTAGAGTATTTTAAACATGAGTATACATCTGTACTTCTACTTGAGTACAGGATGTGTGTACTTTTGCCATCTCTGTCAGTTCATAACCCCACCCTTACTAACAGGAGAGTTTAGCAACATCTCTAGCCGCAGCCCCTCCCAAAACACACTCATTCCAGATGTTTAAATCGATTCTGAAACTGCCACTACACGCTTACGCCATCCTCCACAAGACCACGATCCATTGTCCTCTGACTGTCTCTTATAGACATTAATAACCAGCCCTGAATTAGCCTTGCAGTTGGTGTCACATCTAATTACTATCAGAGATGAAGATAGTGTAGGCCTCTGATTGCCTGGCTCTCTGCGGCTGAATGGGAGGACATCGACCCAGACTTTCAATATGCTTATATCTCATCCAGTGCTATGAAAACTCTAAAAGCTCTCATGTGTCGGCCAACAATGAGCTGATAGTGATGTGTTCACAACTTGGATTATCGATCTTGGTTAGATGCATTCAGGGTTAACTGTGTGAGTGTGAAACTGTGATTCATTCATTTCCTGGAGCTGCCTTTTTAAAGCAATAACAGGTCAATCATTGATAAATGGATGTGAAAAAAACACATTTATAGCCATGTTTGTGTCTTCAATAAAGCTGATTCTGAAGCTCCAAAGTAAATTCAAATGAATATATAGATAAAAAGAAAGCATACAGCCTCAACACAGAGAAGATAATTCAGGGCTAACAAAGGATTTTGTTTCTATCAGTGTATTTCTCCTCAAGCAATCAAGTCAAGATTTCCAGATTTGTGTCTTTACCTCAATAGCGGTTGATACAGGGGAGACAAAAAGAAGCCATGTCGTAAACCTGACACTTCAACACAATATCCTCTTAGAAATATCACCCTCATCTCTCCTCTGCCACATTTTCCTCTAAAGCCTGTTGGATAGCGCCTCAAAGTGTGTGTGCTCCTACCGCATTGAACGTCTCTTTTAGCCCGGTGATTGATCTCCCATTCAGCTATAGAAAAGCCCTTTCTAGCAGCACGGTCATTTAGCAGGGCAGGCTATGTGATATTGATCTGAGAAAGTCTGAAATGAGGGGAATTGAATAGCACTGCAGCTAATTACATATAGTCATGAGGACAGGAGAGAAATTATGGTGCATTGTTAGCAGCCTCACTCCGCGAACTTGAAAGGAAAGGCGTGTGTTGGTTGAGATGCAAAAGTGTTACAAGTGTTAGGGAATAATTTGCTTAGGTATTCACCCTTCGACACAGTTCATCATTTTCTCCTCTCACTGTCTCCTTTCTCATGGCATAGTTCTACGGCCTTGGGTATTGCTGCTATCTCTCTTAAGGAGGAGCAGCTTGGGCGCATTGTTGTTGCCAGTCTATGACAGAGCACAAGCCGCCATGAGGTAGTTTACTGTTCAGGGACGAAGGTTCCCTGGCGCACATTCTTTTCAATGGACGAGAGCTCTAGTTAGATTCAGGGTCCATATTGCTTTAGTCTCACTGATGAAGAATGTTGATTATTACACTGCGACTAGTTAAAACCTCGAGCTACAGAAAGAGTTCTTCAGAATTGGGTTGGCAACCGCTGTGTCAACTCGTGACACACCACCTGTCTTGTCAATTCTCCGGCCGTAACTCCAAATAAACCACCAGTGTTTGCCATCAAAGCTCCAACTCTCCTCGTGTCTCTCCGAGTCCTGTTTCCAATTGCTTCAGAAGTTTCCCCCACAACAAGTCCTCTGCAATTGGACAGAGATTGGAATGTGCATCATGTTGATAGATTATAAAGAGGGCTATTTGATAAGATAAGATCAAATGAGACTTTATTTATCCCCTTGGAGAAATTAATGTGTTAATAGCAGCAACAGGATGCACACAGGGTAACAAAAATATAATATTAAAATAATAGTACAGCAACAATAAAATGATACAGTAACTATTAAAACAAGATATCATAGTAAAAAGTTGTGCATTTGTATGAACATGTTAAATATATTTATATAAGTGTGCAGATGAGAGTGCAAGTTAAAGGTCACCTATTATGCAAAATCCACTTCTTCATGTCTCTTCTACATCAACATGTGTCCCCTCTTCTTCATGTCTCTTCTACATCAACATGTGTCCCCTCTTCTTCATGTCTCTTCTACATCAACATGTGTCCCCTCTTCTTCATGTCTTTCTCTTCTGTAAAGAGATTCTGAAAGCTACAGGAAAAAAGATTAGCTCACTTTTTGTCCTGATCCATTTCTATAAAAACCTGTCTGAAAATGAGCTGATCAGATTTTGGCCACTTTATGATGTCATAACGATAGTTTGACTTGTGTAACCATTAGCCAATCACCAACCAAGGTAGCTTGTGATTGTGGAGCCTGATGGCTACAGGCACAAAGGACTGATTTGAGTCAGATATCAGCAGCTATAGATACACAT